AACCTGTGTTTTAGGTCTTCTCCGAGCGTGTCTCGTTGTGTTTAGGTCGTGTACCTCTTTGTTTCAGTCCTCCCTGCTGTGTTCAGTTGTAGGCTCGATACCCTGGTTTGAAAAACCCTCGTTTAATTTCAGAATTGTTTACACTCGGAGTGCTGTGCCATTCTCTACATTGGAGCATGCTTCAACTCCAACCGGTTCCATCTTTGAGCTCCGTCTTGTCAGATTGGGCCATTCACTCAAGTTTGCTGTGTGCAGAATGAACCGAATGCTGTGTTATGGGCTGTATGCAGATTAATCCCCAACAGAGTAAGGGCTGTGTGTCCAAGAATCAGGCAGTGGATTGCTTGGGTTATTTTGCTGATTGGCTGTTTAGTTATCTGATTATTACAATTGCAAGTGTTCAATTTTCAGATAACCAATCAATTTCATTTACACTGAGGTGTAACATGATGGAATGCGATGCAATGTATGAGATATGTAAATGTAACACTTTTTAAGCAAAAATCTGTTCATTTCATAATTTTTCTCGAGTACAAAGTTTCGAAGAAAACAAAATCTGCCTGCGGCAGTACAAGGTAATCTAACTACCAAAGAAAAAAGGAAAAGTACAAGAAAGAAGAAAAATAACAAAAGTCCGCATCTGTGTCGAGCACTCCAAGGGCCGTCAGTCCGTCCTGGTCCTCTTCCTGGACGAGGGTCCAGGAGCATCATCAACATCGTCGTCAGAGCCCGAGCTAGAACCGCCTCCGGTCTCCTCCTCCGATGACTCGGACTCCGTCTATGCCTCTGACTCCTCGTCATCATCATCATCCGGGACTGGAGCTCGCGAGCTGCTCCCGACATGAACGCGCCCCGCCTTGGAGCGGGGGAATACTCGGCCCTCCTCGTCTCTCCCCCGGGCAGGGACAGAAGGTCCAGCTGGAGCACCTCCTGCCAGGGGAATCTGGAAAGGGGGCTGAAAAAGTACATAAAAGGGAAATGCATCAGTATACTGTAGACAGTTTATCAGTGCATAATGCAATGCAGAGTACAGTGTATGAATGCCGTGAGCAGTCTATCAATGCAGAATGCAGTGCATGAGTACAGTATGAATGCCATGAGCAGTCTATTAGTGCAGAATGCAGTATATGAGTGCAGTGTGAATGCCGTGAGCAGTTTATCATCGCAGAGTACGGTGCAGAATGCAGTGTATGCAGTGTATCAGATACTGTGAGATCAGTGTATCAGGTGTTGTGCCGTGCATCAGATTATGTAAAGCAGTGTATGAATGGTTTGAGGCCAGTGTCAGAAGGGCATACCGGTATGTTGTAGAGGGCTAGGAGGTCAAATGTCCGCTGAAGCATCCCCATCATCGAGGCATTCATCGCCAACGACTGACGGGTGTACTCAGAAGAAGCCTGCAAAAGTATTAGATGCATTAATATTCTGTGGAATATCAAATAAACTGAAATGACATGACTATACAAAGTGCAGTAATACATACCGGAGGTAAGTCGGGGACACCGACGAACTCGTGATCAGCTAGCGGAGGGGCGAAGGGGATCTGGTAGGTCGCCCCACCCTGCCCCTGGAAAGTCAGTATAGCAGGTAGGGCGGGCCAGCCAGTCCCCCGTCCTCCCTGAGCTCCGCCCTTGCCACGGACTCGAGCCCTCCTCGTAGCCCCTACTCCAACTCCCGTTCCGGCCCCAGCCGCCGATGCCACAGGCCTGGCCCTCTCTGCTTGACGGCCACCGCTCAAGGGTCGCATCAGGTACGTCTGCACGTACTCTCGATAGTCGTCGGTGCCTCTGAAGCCGGCCTCCTCCCAGCCAATGGTGTAGTCATCCATCTGCTCACTGGTGAGCCTCTCGGTCTCCCTCATATCCGCAGGAGGGTGAACTGGGACTATCTGCCCAGGGAACCCCAGGGTCTAGCGTAGGAAACGCTCCCCCAGGTACCAAGCCCGACAAACCGGGCCCTCCAGCAAGATCCAGAAACGTGAGGTCTCATCGGCACCGGCAAACCAATCTCGAGTCACAGCTGGCAACGGAGCCCACGGCCGCCAAGTGATCTGAAAGTGACAGACAGATTGTTATCTACTGTTATTGAAATATGCAGTGGGAAAGCGAAGCTTAAATGAACTGCAAGTAAAACATACCTCGGCCGGGGTAATGGTGTCGAAGTATCGGCGGAAAAAGCCGAAAGTCTCTCGCGGCCGCCGGGTGCATCTCCCGTCAAAGCGCCGTGAGAAGGGGACGACCAGGGGAGTCTCTGTGACTGGTACGGGGGCAAGCCTAGGAAAGTAGGCGTAAACCCACAACTGCAAAACAGATGTCAGTATGACTATCGAATAAAGCAGAATACAGAATAAAGCAGAAATGGCAAAGCCGTGTGTTGTGCAGTGTATTGTGTGCAGTGTACAGTGTGAGCAGTGTACATTCAGTGTGAAACAGAATGTATGTGTGTGCCGTGTGTACAGTATACAGCAAGTATAGAGCAGACTACCGTGTGTGCAGTATATAGAGTACAGAAAATATCGGACAGAAATGAAAAGTGGAGAAGAAATGTACCTCCCAAGCCCGCCAGTAGCCTCCAAGTAACTGGCCGCTGCCGCGCGAAGCCGAGCTCATATATCCATAAAGGGTGGCCAGAGCAGCGCCACCCCAATCATAATGCAGGATGTCCCGGACGTCCACCAGTGCGCTGAGAAGACAGAGAGGCACGGTGTTCGCCCGATCGGCGAAGATGGTAGTCCCGAACAAGAACATGAGGAAGCCGCGGGCGTACCTCTCCACGTCCTCCTGAGTCATCTGCGCCTCCTCCTCCAACACGGGCTGAACCCGAAACTGTACCTCGAACCAGGAGTACCGCACGAAGCCTGGACGAGCAAGATGGTGGGGCCTCCCCAGGTAGATGGACTTGAGCGGCGGTCCACTCATCCATGTTGATGTCGAATGGGATCGGATCACCCCCTACCCCTGATGCCAGTGAGCATCGAGAAATCGTAAGGGGTCATCGTCATGTCCCTGCAGCGGAAAAGTGAAAAGAATCCGTGGTGTCCCACCACCTCTCCGCCAAAGCGGCAAAGGGAGGTCTGCATGTGGAGAGCCCTGGGAGAGTCCTCGGCAGAAGGCGCCGAAACCCGCTCGATCCACGATGCGTCGGACCGCGTCAGGGAGCTCATCGTACCACTCCCGAGCGCCAGTATTCCCATAACGCGAATGTATGGGAACCCTCCTGTAAACAGAAAATAACAATTGCAAGACAACATTCAAAATGCAAGTTTTTGAAAAAGCAGATAAAGCATGTTGTGCAAGTTTGTTAGATTTAGAACAAATACGGGCTGCCGGGTGTGTTTACAGTGAACTACAACGTATGATGTGTGTCAGCGTGTTTTTGGGTGTTTCAGAATAGATATAGCATGTGTGCAAAATTTAAAAAATTCAGACAAATATGGTGCCAGTGTGTATGCAGTGAAATAACAGTGAGTGCAGTGTGTTTGGAGTGATTCAAGGCTAGAGCAGTGTGTGTGCATGTGTCAGTCTCAGAAGCAGATATCAGTTGTATGTATGTTTACAGTCAACTACAAGTCTACGGTATATCAAATTCAAGCAGTTAAAGAGTACAACTAACTATGACAGTTTTGTATCCTACATTGGCGGGAATAGTAAAGCAGAAGAAAGAGAGTTACCTCGGAAGTGCCAAATGAAAGGTGGGAGGTAGGCCTCCGCCAGTAGTAGCTCAGGCGCACGTGCCCTCTCGAAGCTCCGGAACTGACGCAGGCCGTCTGGGGGCAGAACATGGATCGCCGGCCGGTAGGTCGCCGGGTTGAACGGGCGTTTAAAGGATGGTAGGAGCTCGCCCCCGGGATCCATCTCGTGGTCCGGGGGAGTCCCGCCACGTGGAATGTCGTCCGCCATATCGAAAATGATGAGAAAATGGCCGGAGGAAGGAAAACCGGGCCGGAATACGAAGAGTCAACCGAAAAGTCGACTCCCGAGAGGGTCGGAAATGGCCGGAAAGGCCGGAATGTGAAAAGGCACGGAAATAAAGAGGGAAGCAAGGGGAACAAACCCCGAAAAGGCGGGAACACCAAACGAGGCACCAAAACAAAAATGTGATCGGTTGAAAATGTCCGAAACGCGAAGAAAATCGCGAATCCGACGACGAAACGGGCGTAGAACGCAAAGAAACGGGCGAAAAATGAGAGAAAAACACTCTAGAGAGAGAGAGTGAGAGTTTTCGGCGGTGGGGAAGTGAGGAAATAGGGTTTGAAGCCCTATTTTAAAACACCCGAAGTGAAAAGTCGAAACTGCCCCGAATCAGCAACTTTCTGCCGGTCGGCAATATTTTGTGCCGGCCGGCAATATTTTGTGCCGATGGAGTTAGTTTCCCCCCAGATCCTGTATCCGAGGGACTGCCTTTTGGGGGGGGGGAAATTTGAATTTGTTTCCCCCCCCCTTTCCTTGGCCTCTCTCCCTCTTTAAAACCAACACCCCTCCTCCATTTCTAAAGGTTAGAAAATCAGCTAAGGGCACCATTATAGATACAACCATATATCTATCTCTTCCAAGCTTCAAAACATCCTTGACCTTGCACCATTTACCCTACACCTCATAACCTTCCACCTCCATCACTCATTCCAGCACCTTGGAGGCCATTTGAAGAGGTTGAAAGCTTAGAATTTTGGACCAAAAGCTCCTGATTTGCTGCTCTTTAAGGGTAAGCACCCATTTCCCTTAAACTTGCATTCTTTTGCTTCATTTATAAGCCATACTTGAAAACATTTTTGGGCTCCAACCCAAACTAGAAATAGTCTTATTTTGAGCTTATCTTCATGTTTGATCAAGGGTTTTTCTTTGTTTGAAGCCACCTGCTACCCCTTTCCCTTTATCTATCTTTTTGAGCTATTTCTTGCATAATATGTTAGCCCTGTTTGTAAGCATTTCTGGGCTTCGAGCCAAACTATAAAGTGCTTTATTTTGAGCCCCTCTTCAACTTTTTTGAAGGGCTCTTCACTGTTTGAGGCCAGCTATTGCCTCTTGCTTTCTATCTCTCTTTTAGGGCCATTTTTACATCATATTGTAGCCTTATTTGTGAGCATATTTGAGACTTGCCATAAACTGAAAAGTGTCTTTTTTTGAGCCCCTCTTCAACTTTTTTGAAGGGCCCTTTGCTGTTTGAGACCTTTTACTGCCCTGTTTGCTCAATCTCTCTTTTAGGGCTGTTTTTGGATGATACATTAGCCTTATTTGTGAGCCTCTTTGGACTTTGACTAAAACTGAAAAAATTCTTGTTTTGACATTATCTTCATGTTTGATTAGGTCTATTCTCTGTTTGGAGTCATCTTCCCCTATGCATGCTTCATTCTTTCATGATTAGGGCTATGCATTAGAGCACTTGTATTGGCCATGGTTTGGCCTCTTAGCCACTGAAATCCAATGGATTTTCAGTGGATTTGATGCATTTTTGAGCCTTGAAATCAGAGGGGGGTGACCCCCTTTCACCTTGTTTTGTTTGATGGTCATTTTGGCCTTCCAAAGAGGCCCTATCTTGCATGCTTTGTTGATTGATTTCAGGGCCAATTTGGTGAGTTTTAAGGCTACCATATTTGATTTCCAGAGTTAATTTTTCCATGCTAAGTGTCGTTGATGTATGTACTTAATAACCCCTTGTATGCGCTTCCAAAGGAGCCCCTCGTTTGTGCATGTGTTGGCTACATTCCATGCTTATTTGGGTATATTTTGACATGTTTTATTCACTGATTTTTGTTGGTTTTATGAGTTCTCACCTGCTTCATGCACATGCCATGTAACCCATGTTTGCCAGTCAAAGTTGCATGCTATTTTAGTCCATCTTGTTATCATCTTTTGGCCATGCTTTGAACTAGAAATGTTCATGTTTTGGGACTGCCTTGGTTCTGTCTTCATGCTTCATGATCAAATAATGCATGCTTTGTAGAGCTATAGGTCAATGCATGTGCCTAGTTTTGTGTTTCTGGACCATTCCATGCATCGGGTGCCATGTTTCCATGTTTCGGGACCATTTCACATCACATTTTAGTGCTGGAAATTACATGCTTGCATGCCATATTTCATGCCTTGCCATGCCTTGTTAGAGTTGCATACTATGCCTTAGGTTCGGTCCTCGGTTTGCGTGCATGTGTGCACGCATTTCGATAGTCTCATTTTCATCTAATGGCTACTGATGTGAGTGTGGCTGAGGTCCACTCATATTGGTGTAAGCCCATATCGCATTGTGTATGCCATTTCATTTCATAGCATTGCGTATGCTAAGTCATATGTTAGAGCATTGTGTATGTCTCGCTACATCGTGTATTGTGTATGCCATTCTATAGCATTATGTATGCTAGGTTGCATATTAGGATTACATTCATGCATGTCATGCATATTGTATTGTGTTTGGGATAGGAGTTAGCCTAAGCACGGGAAACGAGGGACGTTTCGTACTCCGAGTGACGAAACGTGTCTCAATTCCCGGTCGCCGACACTTCGGATTACCCATGATGGAGTCTCAGTCTTGTTATGTTTATATGTGCATTCATTTCATATTGAGTCGTGTAATTCGACTCTTCGGCCATCATGCATCGAGATGCGTGATTGGTGGCACGAGGATCGAGGACTACACTCCCTGAAGGGTAGTCGTGCATACATATGTGAAAATACTTTGCCATGCCCCTTTCTTGCTCTCTGTTGCAACAAATCAGAAACCAGCAATCTTTTGGAGCTCCGTGCAATACTCCGGGCTTAATTATAAACAGAGGCTAATTGGGGCATCGCAATGGATTTCCGCGCAAAGGCGACTCGAGCATGCATCATCCACCATTTGGAACCGAGCCAAGGCGGTCCATAGATTTGTGTGACAGCTTATTGCTTTCGTAGTTAAATTTGTCAATTAATTAGGATTTTTGTATTTATTCGGACTGTACTATTTATTCGGACTGTATTATTTATTCGGGACTGTATATTATTTATTCGGACCCTCTGCGCGAGGGCAATATTGTAATAAGTGTGCGTGTGTGTGATGTATGTCTTCCAACCTCACGTCTTTCTCCCTTTTATTTACCAGCTTATGATGGTTAGATTAGGGCATGTTTCGATTAGCATACAGTATGATAACATGTTTGCATTCATTCATCTGTATTACATGCACCGGGCTCGGCGCATCATACTAACTGCATTTGTACTTCAATTCCAAATTGAATACTTGTTAGCTGTAGCATTCCATATGCAATCTTTAGAATAGCCGAGCCTGCTATAGTTGCATTTTTATATGTGTTGCATTAGGCATTTCCGTATAGTTAGGATCATGCATGGATTTCTAACCTAGCTTCTGTTTTGGCTTGGAGTACTCGGTAAGTTTTATGCTTTAGCATCCTTGCATGCGTGTGAGTGACTGCCATGATAGCATGCTTACCATGAGGCTATATGCTTATGTGATATATCTGCCTGAATGCATGTGGGTGAAGGTTGGGTTATTTAGATTGGAACAAATCATCAACTATGAATTTTAAGCCCACTAGATAGTGGCAAAACCATGTTTTCTAAGCTCATCTGAGGGTGGCAAAATCTGCATTTTAAGCCTACTTGCGAGTAGCAAATCACTCTAA